TTTTTTATTTTCCATTTTTTTCTGATTTTTTCAATTTTATCTAATTTCTTCTAGTTCAATTTAGTTTTTTCTAACTTTTTATAGTTTTTTCCAGTTCTTTCCAATTTTTTTAGTTTCTGATCGTTTCTTTCTAGTTTTTCTAGTTGTTCCAGTTTTTTTCAAATTGGGGGTTCTGCAAATCGTCATCAAATCTTTAAAGGTATAAAGATTTCCGGAAACCGGGTGCCCGCCGGCGGGTCGGAGCGTTTTCCGGCCAACTCCGGCGAAATTGACGGCGGGCATCCACTCCAATGCGTTCGTGGCATCCGGGCGACCTCCAGGGACACCTCAATTGCAAGATTTGATGACGATTTGCAAAACCCCCAATTTTGGACCCAATTTCGAATTTTAGAGTTTTTCGAGTAGAAAAATTCAGATTCGAGAAGTTACAGGCCAAATTAGACAAAATGGTTTGGATATTATTGATCCTCGTCTCAAGACGAAGAGAATGACATTGGTCCCGCCGGAATCGGAAAAAGTTCATTTTCCGGCGACTTTGACCGGCGGCGGCGGCGGGGCCTAGAAGAAAAGAAAAGAAGAAATGGGGTCAAATTGAAAATTTTAAAATATATAAAATTCGAATTTGGCCCTAATGACCGGAAGTTAACCTAGAAACGGGCTAATAGCTCATTAGTGAAAGGATTGTGTAAGTTCAGGGATTTTTGTGAAAGGATTTGAAGTTGAGGTACCACTTCGAAATTCCAGCTAAAGTTCAGATACCATTACTGAAATTTACCCTCAAATATCCAATTCTTTTTTTCCGTGTTCTAGAGAACAATTCCTTAGTTTCTAATCAATTATTGGGAGCGTAGTATCAATTTTTTTCAAGGTCAGTCTTTCGTCATTCATGTTGTTATATACCTTTAATGATAAGGTTAAAAAAGTAACTTTCCACCTCACGTTTCAATTAAACTCCCACCTTCATCCTCATATACTCTATTTGCAAGGTTAGTGTGTTGCGTTCAAATTGTTGTGAAAAAAAATGAGTATCGTAACTTTTTGGTTCTATGATGAAGATTGGGCTTAGGGTTCTTAGTAGTAATTGGAGGGGTTTAATTCAGAGAAGAGTGCGAGAAATTACGTTTTTAATCCTGCATTGAATGGGTAAATGATAGCAAGAGTGATGGAGGGTCAGTCATGGAAAGGAATCAAAGAAATAAGTATTACGCTTGTAATATTTGACAAATAAAAAAATACGGAGTAGAAAACTACCTATTACATCATTTATGGAATTTACTTCATTGTTAAATATATTTACTCTATCTAAGGGTTCGTTTTGTTCAATTTATTTTTTCAACTAATTACTTACTTTTATTAAAATGAAATTAGAGCATATCAGTTCCAATAAGATCAGACCAGAAATAATTTTAAATATCATATCTAACTAAATAAGATCAGGTGAGATCAAATTAGATGAAATGAGATCTTCAAAAAATTAGATCAAATTAGTGAACGGAAAGCAATCGTAAGACTGTAAGAGTAGCATTTAAAAAAAAGCCACATTCTAAAAATTTATGCTTTTGCCATACAAATTTTGTAGTTGAAATTGAAAAGAGTCCTTCAATTGTTGCAATTGAGTGGCAACACAGCCTTTTCGTTAGCTTGAATTCGTTGATGGTGTGATTGGGAACTTGAATTTGGATTTCAAATCTAGATTTGATCTAAATTACTTATTTGGGAACACAAAGATTTTGGATTTGGATTTGAAACAAATTCGTCTAATTCAGAGCTAACTCAACTACAAATCCACACCACTCACCTTGTCATTTATAAATTCAAATTCAACTTTTCTCTAATTTAAAACTTGTAATTAAAAACTGATCTCCCCTTATATAATGACAATTGCATATATATCAACCCGCTATCGTTATCGTCTTTGTCAACTTCAAAATTCAAATTCTAGAATTAAAATTCTATGACTTCCCAAACAATATTTGGAATTTGAAATTATGGAATTTCGAATCTTAGAATTGAAATCTAATATTTCAAATGAAATCTAGTTCCCAAACACTAACTTTTGATCAAATTTTACTGTTCCCTATCTGTCTTTGTTCAAAGGCCATAAAAACATGGACCATGCTACATTTACACCAAAATTTGTACCCCAAAGTTACACCAAAGGTATATTACCAACATTTTGATGGTTCACACTGACAGAAAGTGTTGGTGCGTTAAAAAAAATTTATACTGACACAAAGTGTTGGTGCGTTAACTTTTTTAAGAAATTGTTTCTTCTTCTTCGCACGCGAAGTACAGGAACCAACACTATGAAGTATGTAAGGTGAGGGATTAGGGTGGGGGTTAAGCGTTCAAAACCTTTAATTTTAAAACTGAAGATTTCACCCTTGGTATCTTTCAGAAAAAAGTTTTAAAATGTGTTCATTAGCTAAAATGAAAGAAAATAAATTTTTCGAGAGTACAATATAATATTTGATAATTGTGATGGTGCATTTTAATTTTTATCTACCTTTTGAGTTTTGAGCCTGTAAGGCAGGGCGTAGCACTTGCCTTTCTCCCCTGCGTGATCTTTCGTGGCAATGTTATGTAGGCGTGCTTCACAGAGGAACAACGCCTCTATAGTGCCGTGATCGATTAGCATGAACAAGGAAGTGGTCACAACCACAACGATAAGCTTCTTCTTCTTTTTACTTTGTTTTATTTAATTTTCAACTACAACTACTATTTTGTTCATAACTTTTTTCACGCGAGTCAAAATTTAAAAAATAATATAACAATGGAAATTTTTTTAAGTTATACACAATGGCACCGATATTGCATATGTAATTTGGACGTTATGTCTCGCTTTTATTTTTCTTCAAGACACTTCTGAATTGAACGAGCTATGTTATATTATCATATTTTAATTTAGTGTTACTTGTAACGTATTTGTATGATTTTTATTGAAAAATTAGTGATAACTTTATATTTAGTTGGGCAACTGAGTATTTTTTACTATTATCTATTTTCCTTGACCGTGGTAAAAAATAAAATAGTAAAAAATATTAAACAAATAAAATAGGAAAAAAAATATTGAACGATTTCTATAAATTTCTATAAATATAAAAAATGGAAATATTAAAAGAAATAAAAATAAAAAATAGAAAATGATAAAGAGAATAAATAAGTAAATGTTAAATAAAATCAAAGTGTAATCATTGTAGTGAAAGTGAGACGCTACGAGTGTGAAGTAAGTGAGATAATGAGTGCAATCAACGTTGATGTGGTGCTGAGAGACTGTTGATTTGGAGTGAATCGTAGTGGAGGGCTACTGGCTACACATAACCTAAAATGATTTTACGAAGTACTCCATCCGTCCAAACGTTTCTTTCTCATTTTAACTTGGCGCGGAGATTAAGAAAAATTAAAAGGTGTAAAGACTTTCTATGTATTGCCCTTGATTTGATGGAATAAAGTGAATAATATAGACAAAATGTAAGGGTATAGTGAAATATTCATTAAAAGTTTTTTGCCAAAATAGGAAACGAGAAAGAAATTTTTTGGCCGTCGAAAAAGGATAGTGAGAAAGAAATTAATAAACGGAGGGAGTATATTCTCTGCGTCACATTTGAATATTTACGTATACTATTAGACCTGGCAAAACGGTCGGTTAGGTCGGGTTCGGGTTCGGTATGATCGGGTTCGGATCACATCGGGTTCGGGTCACGTCAGGTTCGGGTCTAAGGATGCTTGTTCATGACCCAGAGCTATCGGGTTCGGGTTGACCCAATGGGTTAAGAGGCGTATTTAAAAATTTAAAATTTTTCCATTTAAATATGAAGTGATTAATGTATTCTTCAAAATAGAGAAGAAAATCAGTCAAAACAACAAAAAGTAAACATAGCAGTGTTAGTTTGTAAGTGTAAAATAATTTTTTCCATTTGTCACGCTCATCTACATATTAATACAAAAACATATATAAGATTTAATTTGTAAGTGTAAAATAAATTGATGCAGTGTTAGTTAGAACAATCAAAGTGAAACAGGTTAAATACAATTAAACTAACAAATTAAATAAAACTAGTTAAACGAAAAAACATTTTCTTTATTTAAACCCTATCGAGGAAGTAATCAAAATTCAGGTTTATGTTCAAACAAAATCCAACTATACTCCTACAAAAAACAAAATAAACAAATTAAATAAAACTAATTGTTAAATCCCCAAAAAGTATTGCGCTATAAGTTTCTAAAACAGAAACTAAAAAAGAAACTAATAAATTTTTAATTATATAAATAAGAAAGTGATTTATCTTTAAAACTTGTAAAAAGAAACTAAAAAAAGTGTTCCATCAAATTTTGTGTCTTCTCACCATGTTAATTGAGCCGACACCACCGGAGGATGATTGACAAACCAATTGCAAAAATTGGCAGCGAGAGAAGGAGACTCGCCGAATCACCAATCGAGAGATGAAGAAGGTTATTCCGTATTTACTACTCGGTATTTAGGTTTACGGGCTTTTCACTTATTATGCTTTAGTCATAATGGGGCAAATTGGGTCATTGCAATAATAAAAATGGTTTGGGCCGTAGACTGTGTGGGTAATTGCCCAAATATTAATTTCTAAGCTTTGAGGATGCTTAACCCGTTGGGTCAGACCTGACCCGACTCGACCCGATCCAAAATTTTAACGGGTCCTCGGGTTCGGGTCATTTCGGGTTCAGGTCATAAAAATCATGTTCAAAACCCACTAATATCGGGTCGGGTTTCGGGTAAAAAACGGGTCAGGTCAAATTTTGCCGGGTCTATATACTATTCACATAGTAAAACTTTAAACACTTTGTTTCTCTATTTTTGTTTTTCATTTCAACTTCGAATTTCTTAACCATAATACGGACTGATGGGATTAGGATGGAGTAATATTTTTATAAAACAAAATTCTATTTGTAACCCACATCTGACATGAAATGTAAGTGTAAAACTGATATTATGTCAGTATTGCACTTATTTTTATATCAGGGTAAATCTATAAAATATAAAATGGGATACAAAATGGGGCTAGAGTAAAACAACCCTTTTGCAAATGTCATTTTGGATCTGAGCTAGGAGAGTTCGTTTTCCATTTATTTAAGGGTCATGTCACCGCTAAGGCACAAACACCGAAACAGAATGGCATCTTTCACCTGTCTCGTCTTGTCCTTCCTCACTGTTCTATCCATTTCTTCCTCCTTTCCACTCAAAACTTCATCCTCAAACACCATCACCATCCCTCTTTCATTCTCCCATCCAAATCCAACCCTGGATCTAACAGAAGAACTCACTCATTTGGCTACTTTTTCCTTGGCAAGATCCAAGCACATCAAGAATCCCCAGAAAAAGGCTTCTTCCAGTTCTAGTAATACCCAATTGTACCCTCGCGGCTATGGAGGCTACTCGATTTCCCTTAACTTCGGCACTCCTCCGCAGACCCAATCCTTTGTTATGGACACCGGAAGTAACTTTGTCTGGTTTCCTTGCACTAAAGGGTACCGATGCAATGACTGCAATTTCACAGGCACGGAAAAGGGCGGCGCCTTTGCCCCTTTCTTGCCGAAATCGTCTTCCTCTGCTAGGATTCTTGGATGTGCGAATCCCAAATGCGGGTGGGTTCACCGGAGAATTACCCCGGAGAAACGCTGTTCCGAGTGCCGGCCACCGGTCACCCGGGAGAGCTGCGACCAGATCTGCCCGGCGTATTTCATTCTCTACGGATCTGGATCTACCGGCGGCATTGCACTCGTCGAGACCCTCGAGTTTCCCCGGAGGAAAATACCCAATTTTCTGGTCGGCTGCTCCGTCTCTTCGATCCGGCAGCCTGCCGGAATCGCCGGTTTTGGCCGCGGCCCGGTTTCCCTCCCGGTGCAATTAAGGCTCGACAGATTCTCCTACTGTCTTGTTTCTCACAGATTTGATGACGCCCGGAGAAGCAGCTCGCTGGTTATGGAGAGCGGGCGAGATTCCGGGGTTGGAAACCGGAATCTCAGCTGGACGCCATTTCTGAAGAATCCCCAGGTGGCCGGAAGAGATGCACTGTCGGTGTACTACTACGTCAAACTGAAGAAAATCACCGTCGGAGGGGTAAAAGTGAGAATCCCATACCAGAATCTCTCACCGGATTCAAAGGGAAACGGAGGCACAATTGTAGATTCCGGCACGACATTTACATATTTGACGCACGATTTGTTCGAGGCTGTGGCCAGTGCGTTTGTGAAGCAAGTCAAGGCCTACCCTCGGGCCGGAAAACTGGAGAAGGTAACCGGATTGGCGCCGTGCTTCAATGTCTCCGGCTACAAGACGGTGAACGTGCCGGCGATGAAGTTCTATTTCAAGGGTGGCGCAGAAATGGCACTGCCGCTGGAAAATTACTTGTCCATTGTTGCGACTGACGCAGTTTGCCTGACGTTGGTGACTGATCACTCCGGTCAGGAGTCCGGCTCCGGGCCTTCGATCATTCTGGGGAATTTCCAGATGCAGAATTTCCTTGTGGAGTATGACCTCAAGAATAAGAAACTGGGATTCAGGCAACAATTATGCTAAGTGATGTTTACAAGTTTAGCTGCCCAACTCAACTCTGAAATTCTTCTAAAAATTACTTGGTCCGTCCCTGTGTTTGTCCACTTTTGACTTCTGAAACTGTTCATCTAAGCACTTTGACTCATCAAATTATCTCAATGTGTAAGCCTAAAAATAGTCATGTGTGATCTTGTTTGATTCGTCTTAACATATAGATTATTAATATATAATTTTTATAATTTTTTAATATACAAATTACAAGATAAAATGGATTAAAGAAGTGCATTGGATGGTGTGCAAAAATAAAAGTGGACAAACACTCAGGGACGGAGGGAGTATTCCGTATTTACAAGTTTAGCTGCCCAACTCAACTATGTGATAGGCTTGGTGTACTAGTTAAGATACAAATTTGGTGTACCTTTAGCACATCTATAGACTATAGAGAGTACCGGAGTATAAATAAGTTAAAGCTAATTATTATAAAGAAAACCTTTTAAATTAGAGTGAAACATGTGTCATATCTTTAAAATAGAAGCTTAAACTTAAACTCCTCTAAATAGGAGTAATTAACATTTTTGTTTCAATTACTTCTAACCACATAATGTAAAAATGCCCCCATAGCCTCCCCTTTCTCTCTCCTTTGCACAATCGCATCGCCGTTCTTGCCCCCGTTGCCATTGCCGGAGACCTTCTGCCGCCACTCTCTTTACCCGGGACGTTGCTCCAACCTTTACAGTGCCGCCCAACCCCCTTTTCTCTCTCTTTCCCATTCCCTCGCATAGCCCTGCGTCCACACACCCCATCCGTTCCGATCTGAAGTTTGATCCACCATAAGCCAGATTCTTTGTGGAAATCATTGTGTCATTGGTCAGAATCCTTGGCCCCGAGCTTGAAGTTGCTCCTAGAGACAAATTTCACTATGCAAAGCTTGAACTCGGCGGCTAGGTCTGTTTTAGTTTTAGTTTAGCCAACATTTTTCATTGACGTTGTGGTAGGGAGTGTTCCTTCGCATTTTGCTTTCTTTTTTACATTATGCGGTTTCTTCTTTGTTTTATGCAATGTGAAATTTTGCATTATTCATTGTCATAATTGGCATTGAAGCTTTTTTGACATTATACAGTGTCATGTTTGTCTTTATGCAGTACGAAATTTTGCAGTATTAATTGTCATCATTGGCATTGTAGCATTTATTGTCATGATTGCATTGAAGCTTCGGTTAGACGTAAATAGGAGCTAAAGTATTAAAATAGAGTAAGACACCTCCCACGCCCCATTCCCAAACTCTTTCTCGATCCTAGGAATTGCTTCATTCGCTCCACCCTAGTCCATTTCCGCCGCCCATCCCAATCTAACTCTGTTAGAATCGTCGCAACCGCCGTCGTCACCCTTCAAGTTAATTAGTGTTGCACGACTTATGATATGGCTTCCTCTATAATCTGTAATTTTTTTACTTAACTAACCTCAATTTAATCATAATCAAGGACCTTTGTGTGTAGCTCCTGCTTTAATCTCCAAGAAATCGGGATTTTTTTGTGTATAATCATATAGTGCTGATCAATATGTTGTTCATAGGTAGTGCTTTCTGAATTATCATCTAGGGCCTGTTAGTTGAATGAAAAATTACGAGGTGTAGAAAACTCACAATGGCACAGTAACAATGTAATTACAAAAACAAATAAAGAAAAGATATGGTTAGCCTAAAGACATTCTCAGGCTAGCCCTACCTTCTTCAATTCCTAGCAAAACAGAAAGACAAGATACATGCAAACATACATGTGAAATTTTTGACAAAACATTGAACATACAAATAGACGGAACCTGATCGAAATCGAGACATCAACAACAACAACAACCCAGTTAAATCCCACAAGAGTAGGGTCTGGGTAGGGTGTGTGTACGCAGGTCTTGCCCCTACTCGAAAGTAGAGAGGCTGTTTCCAAAGAGACCCCCGGCTCAACGTCAAAAGTTGCATTGCTTGACTAACTGCTACTTCATTAATTAAAGAAGCGCAGACAGTTTAGAGATCCATTTTGATTTATTCCATCACACCCCAAAGCCAAAAAATGGTGAAATTTTGGCTCCATCGGAGATGATGGAACGATTGAAATCGAGACATACATGCACTTATTCTGCTAGAATATACTCCCTCCGTCCCAAATTTGATTACAATTTTTTTTATCTCTCCCCTCAATAACTTTTGTTTGTTTACGCGATTTCATTAAGTATTTGATAAAATAAAATAGTCTTGTCACCTCTTGTTTTGTAGAACTTTTGACGTAATTTTTTAATATGTAATTTTTATTTTTTTATCGATATACCAATTTGTAAATGAAATGATTTCTAAAAGTGAGATATTTCTCCTCGTAAACCCCAATTTGTAATCAAATTAGAGACGGAGGGAGTATTTGCTTCATGCGGCATAACACACATTCCTTTTTCGTTGACTTAAACTCTTGTTTATGGGAGTTTAAGTTTGAACTCTTACTTTTAGAATATGATATATGTTTTACTCCTATTTTGGTCCTTCTCCCATTATTATATCCCTCTGTTCTAAAATGGATATCTTTGCTTCTATCATGAGTTTTTGATAGTTTTTGTTTGTTTGCATGTTTTTATTTACCATTGATTTTATTGGGTTGTAAAATTTTTTATGTAGTTTTGAACAATATAATTTTTATTTTTTTAAAACCAATTTGTAATTAAAATGATTTTGAAAGTGATGAGATTTTACAAGTTTTACTTTTGAACTTTTTATGAAGTTTATCACTCCTTCCGTCTCCCATATTTTTTCTCAGATAATATTCACATTGTCAAATTTAATTCACTTTGTTTACTTATTTTTAATACTCATTTCGTAATATAATATAGTTTTGTCACTTTTTAATTAGTAAAACTTTTTATGTAGTTTTTTACTCCACACTCTACGAATAGCTGCAATAGCATGAACTCATACAAAGTGATCGGTCTGGAACTACAACAAGTACAAGTCCTGGATCGAAGATTAACTTCAAGAACCCTTCCAGATGTGTCTAAAACCCTGAACTCATATTCACAAGATGGGCGAACCTAAAAAAGAGGGAGAGTTGTTGATAGTCATAGTATGAAAAAACATATAAAGATTCTTACAATAACAAAATGCATTGTGGTAGTATAATGAAATAAATGAAAAATACACAAGAATGTGAACATAATCCCTTGAAAGACGTACAATCATGACGGTAGACAAAGCATGTACCTCATTCAACTTTGCTTCATAATGCCTTGTGAGAATGGATGATGTAGAATTAGCCAATTTTCTCCGTTCATGGAACCATTTTTGCATCCTCCCAATTATGAAATCAATAAGTTGTGCAATAATGGGATACTCGCGGGGTGAAGCATCAACACTGTTCATTGAGTAACCGCTGTTTGACGTCATGATTGAATATCAATTGTTTGCTGATTCTGCCCGAGACCACTTCAAAAATCCCATGCGTCCTAGATATGGCTGAATGGTAGGATCCTCCTCGTATAACAATCTCATATACAAATTCCGTTCATGAACAGTTGCAGCCTTTGCATCGCGAATAAACTTGCATGTAACAACATTTGCATAACCACGGAATGACGTCTTAATGTTACCAAGAACGTGATATATACAATGCCCATGCATAATGTTTGGGAAAATGGACTCCACAGCACTTAAAATGCCATCATGACGGTCAGAGACAATATACTTCACTTCTTGAGCTACAAGGACCTCTTTAACGTTTTTTAAAAACCACTTCCAATTTGTAATGTCTTCAGCATACATATGGCAAAGGCCAATGGAAATATTTGTTTGTTCCCATCCTGTGCCACAACTGTTAGCAACGTACCTTTATAATAAGATATCATGAATGACCCATCAATAATCAAAACTTGAATGCAGTGAGTCCATCCATCTTTCCAAGCGCATAGAGACATGAAGATATACTTAAAGAACCCATTGTCAGATGTGTTAGAATAAAGGCCCAACGCTAGAGGGGGGGTGAATAGCGTTTGAAACAAAATCGCAGGAAATTAAAAACGATAGCGTTAAAGTAAAGAGCGTAAGGAAGGAGCACACCAAATTTTATCCTGGTTCACCACAACGTGTGGCTAATCCAGCCTCCCGAGAGACTCTCTCGAGCTACACTAACTCCGTTAAGCTTAAGGGTGCTTAACAAACCGATACAACTTGAGAACCCGAGTCACACGAGCCTCAACACCTTTGCTCGGAGATACCGCACTCCAAGACTTCTCACGAAGGAACAAGGAACTTCCTTCGAGTTTACAACAAGGGAACAACCTCCCTTAAAGTGTATAAAAACACTTAAACACTCAGGAATAAAATTCTCACAAAGAGTAGATATGAGTGAACTAGTAAACGCTCAAGAACACGACAATTTCTTCAAGAATTGGCTCTCAAATAGCTAAGAAAATTAGGAAATCTTATGCAATGAAAGAGTATTGAAATGTTGAAGAATTGTGTATCAAATGAGAGGATTTGGGTGCCATTTTATAGCCCAAAATGGGATAAAACCGTTGCTAGAATTTCCAACAGGATGAAGACAAATTTTTCAGAGACACAGGCTGATAGTCGATTATCCAACCTTGATAATCGATTATCAAAAGATTCCTTGTCCAAAAATTTAAAATTCTGTCCGTTGGAGGACAACGGTAACCCAGATAATCGATTGTCAACAAGTGATAATCGATTATTGGTCCTCTCAGAAGTTTCTGGGTTTTGGCTGCACAGGTTGATAATCGATTATTGCATAAGTGATAATCGATTATTGCGTGCTTCAGAACTTTGGAGTTCCAAAGCTGCAGGGGCTGATAGTCGATTGTCACTAAGGTGATAATCGATTATCACCGAGCTAAAGTCTAGCCAGCTGAAACCCGTTTTGAAAAACCGAGGTCCAAAAAAAAAACGAAGTGTTCCCAAAAGTAAAAACCAAGTTTGAAAAACATTGTATATGGTATAAAATAGTGAAACCAAGACTTGTTTGGTAAAAACCAAGTCTTCAAGGTCGTAAATCACGTGTGTACGGTTTTGACCGTTTCTCACGTGTTAGACCGATTGACCAAGATACAAAAGTGGTTTTTATGAAATAATTATTTGGGAACCTTTTAAATATGCTCAGAGATAAAAACAAGGTTTAAAACATAGAAAACCACCGAGTTGGTTCGGGCGCCAAAAAACCGAACACCGTACGCCGACTTAGGTGATTTTGGTTCTGAGCAAGGACCAGGGATTTTAAAAAAAATTATCAAAAATGTTTATTTTGATGCACAAAAATATTTTATGATTTTGTAAAAAATATTTAGACTCTTTGAGAACCGAGACTTGAATTGATTGTCGGTTTTGATCACAAAAGACTGACTCGACTAAGTCTTCAATTCTTGATCTTGTCCTTGAGTCTTTTAGGTCTTGTTCCATGCCATTCTTCGCGCCTTGAGTTATGCAACGAAACTCTTTATATCTACGGCGGTTTGGCAATTATCAAAACCTGTCAGAAATGAACACGACTTTAGTTAAACGTGCAAAGTGTGTTCCAACAATTTCCCCCTTTTTGATAATGGCAAAAAAGACGGGGATATGCATAGGGTTTTGATCCTTTTAAAAAAAATTCCCCCTTAATAAAATTCCCCCTGAAAATATGCATAGCCCTTATCTTCCCCCTTTTGACATTAACAAAAAGATTTAATAACAAAAACCATAAAGATTTTTATTAATTAATTAAGGGAAGTGGAGGAGTTCATAACGAAAGTACATAAAAAGATGATAAAATAAGGAAGAGGAGAAAAAATAGAGCTAGAGCTCTTAGAAATCCGGGGAAAGATCATTGAGAAGTTGTTCTTCGTCAATGTCTTCTTCTTCATCGTCTCCATCTTCATCACCATCGCCATCATCATCATCATCATCGGCTTCTTCTTCCTCTTCTTCTTCTTCTTCTTCTGCTTCTTCTTCTTCTTCAACGTCCACCGCGTCGTCCCTACCAACATTTTGAGTCCCGCTTGGTTCACCTCCGAAATTCAGTGGAGGAACGTAGGGGACCATTTGAGCATAAGGGTAATTGTCAAAGTCAAAATACCCGTGAAGCTCACGGCTCAAAACATCGACTTTGTGTGCCGTTTTGGAGACGCTGGTGTCTATCCGAGACAAGGTAGTGGTCAAAGCCGCCATTTGCTCGGCGAGAGACAGATTGGTTGAAGGGGTGGCAGTCGAGGCAGTAGCTCTTGGTTGGCGACGAGGACGAGGCTGCGGAAACGTAGCTTCATCGGTTCCCGGGTGGAAGGAGGACTCGTCAATCACCCAATGCTTCGTCCCTTTGCATTTCGGCCCGACGTCCGTCTTGATGTGGTACTCATCAAGGATCGCCATGACGAGAAGAGCATAGGGAAGCGGCCGGTTGTCGGAGGTGGCGTTGAACATGTGGATCATCACAAATTTACACCAATTGATATTGGCGTTGTGAATCATCGCATGGATCGTCTTCGTGTCTTCTTGGGAGAGAGTGGTGTGGTTGAACTTCCTGGGCTTGAGGATCCGTGTCAACACATAGAAGATGAAACGATACACGAGACTCATGGAAGAAATCGTAGGACGCCGCTGTTGAGGAGTGGGGACGAAGTTTCGGATGCCCACTTCCTCCAAGAGGGCGGTCTCGTTGAACCGTGCTCCTTCTTCTCCGACGTAGAGCCCGAGATCCTGTCCATCCCGTCGAAGCCCGGTGAGGATTTGAATGTTCTCCTCATTCAAATAGATTTCCACCCCATTGACGTTGGAAATCAGCGACCCATCCTCATCCTTTTTCAAATTCGAGTAGAAGGCTCGAACAAGAAAAGGGTGGTAGTCGTTTTTCTTAATGTAGAGGAGGTCGAGGAAGCGTCCACTCTCGAGGATGACCCGTGCCTGGCGAGGGATGGCGCTGTGGATGAATCGGCCGGTGGAAAACCGGGGAGGAAGAATCTCCCGGTGCTCGAACTTTTCCGAGAACCGCGTCGCCTCTGCGTGGTCGTTGAACCACAAGAAAGACCCGTCGAGGTATTTGTGCGCCGGTGGTGGTGGAGGAGCCAAGGAGGAAGCAACGTTCTTCCCGGTGCGAGATCGTTTTCTTTGACCTCCTGCCATTTCAACAAAGAGAGAGAGAGGGAGAGCAAGACAAAAAGAAGAGAAATTTGCAGGGATTTTGCAAGAACACTGAAGAATAATTGCAAGAAGGATGAAATATTGATGAATATATGAAGGAACTATGATTTGAGTGAGTAAAAAATGAAAGGATATCACCAATATATAGTGGAAGAGGCCTGAAGATCCGTTGGTGTGGTCAAATGTGAGTTTAATGCAGTTCCAACGGTTAGAAAACGGTCAGATTTTTGAAAATCTGCCATTGGTAATCGATTTACACAACGTGTAAATCGATTATCTGAGTCTTCAGATTCTCCGCCGAAAGATCTGTAGACTTCAATAGTCGATTGCCTTGTTTTAGTCAATCGATTGTTGGAGTTTGCGCCTGACTTCAGATAAAGTTCTGCAGCTCCATATAATCGATTATCATGACTTGGATAATCGATTGTTGAGGTTTTGCGATGGATTTGCTCCAAACTTCTGCGGACAGTGATAATCGATTATCTCAAGGTTGTAAATCGATTTACACTCAGTCCTGGGAACTTGAAATCGATTTCTTTTGTTCCCCCTGCCTTCAACACCTACAATGAAAACATTTTGGTACCCGTTTGGTCTTTTGGGTCCTTGAGGATTAGCAACACGACTTTTTAAACTAATAAACATACGCACCCATAATCACATACACATGGTACGCAAACACACACACACACATATGTACCAACACGCGTGTTTAAGTGTTACCTTGGCCAACTCGTCGTTTTGCGGTTGGCGGGTTCCAGTCTACTCGAACCAAATGTCTATACCTCGGTTTGATTTGTGTGGGTTCTGGAAGTGGTATGTGAATCTTCTTCTTTTCATCATAATAGAAGAAGTAATATGGTTTCTTTTGCGTTGATTCCTGCAGGGATTGGTTAGAAATCGAATATCTTTTTTCAAAGGATTTCATTAGGTTAGTTCCATGCAAAGTGTGTGTTTTGTTATATGTGCAATGCCTATGCCTACTAAAACACACAGGTGCTATATGACCTACCCTATTGCAATAATGACAAATAACATTTGGATTATGCATTCTACTAGGTTGATAATAGTTGCTAGGTTTTCTAACTTGCCCATTGTTCATCCTAGTGTTCATAATTGTTCTAGGTTGTCTATTATCTTGATTTTCATTATTCCTGAGTTGAGCTTTAGGTTTCCTAGATGGTTGCTCAACTTTTTCTTTATTATTAGTTTCATTTTCAAAGCCTAAGCCATGTTTAGTAAGTTGCAAATTATCAAGAACATCATTAAGGTTTTTATGAGAAACACCAAACTTCTTCAAGGTTCCTTCAAGTTTTGCAACTTGTTCCTTAAGGGACATACAAGAACTACATTTTGAACTTTCCGGTTTATCGGCGCTTCTTTTTCCGAAAAACTTATTTTCTTCTTTAAGTTTTTCATTATCTTTTGATAGTTTATCAACTTCCTTCTCCATAGAAGTAAGTTGTTTCTTCAAATCCTTGTTAATTTTAGAAGCGTTGACATATTCATCATAAAGTTCATTAAAGGCTTCTTGTACATCATCAAAAGTATAGGAATCTTTAGAAGTAGTGTATACCTCTTCCGGTGGCTCCTCGTGTGCCATGAGGCAAAGGTAGGCGCTTTCATTTTCTTCGCCTTCTAATGACTCGTCGCCGGAGTCACCTCCCCATGAGATGTAAGCTCGGTGCTTCTTGAACATTTTCTTCTTGTTCTTGGCGTTTGGACATTTTGGTTTTATATGCCCAACTTCTCCACACCCATAGCATTTGGGTGGACTTCCTTGCTTCTTTCCTTTCCGTTCATACTCTTGGCTCATGAACTTATGGAATTTCTTGAGCACGATCCCGAACTCGTCTTCGTCACCCGAGTCTTCCATGGCACGTTCTTGGCTTGTAGATGCTTTGAGGGCGATCCCATTCTTCTTTTGTTCACCTAGAGAGGGATAAAGAATGGTAGACTCATAGGTTTTGATATTACCTCTAAGTCCGTCAATGGTGACGTTGGTGATGCCGAAGGATTCTACTTGAGCAAGTCTGAGCCCTCCAGCCAGAGCTTCATATTCTGCCTCATTGTTCGTCAGCTTGAAGTTGAAGACGAGTGCATGGTAGATCTTGAACCCTTCTGGGGTAGTAAACACTATAACACCCCCGTAGCTTTTAGGACCAGATGCCCCATCTCCCGCCATCTCCCACCATTGCTCCGTGGGTTTGTTGACCGGTAGGTCTGTAGTTAGACCGTCATTTCTACCAGGAAGTCTGCAAGGGCTTGTCCCTTGATTGCTGATCTTGGCCGGTACTCAATGTTGAATTGAGTTAACATCATTGCCCACTTCACCATCCTCCCAGAGGATGTTGAATTTCGCAGTACTGCACCCAGTGGTTGGTCAGTCAAGACTTCAACCGGGTGAGCCTGGAAGTAGGATGTTAACTTTTTTCGGAGATGAAAAGCACGTAGGCTGTTTTTTCCATCGCCGTATATCTACTTTCTGCTCCGTTTAGTGCTTTGCTCACATAATAAATGGGCTTTTGTGCCCCATCATCTCTTATTAAAACAGAACTTACAGCATTTGGGGAAATCCCTAAGTACAGATACAAAGTTTCACCCGGTTCGGGTTTTGACAACACAATGTCTGATACCAGGTACTCCTTCAGTTCCTCAAATGCCCTCTGGCACTCTTCGTCCCATGCAAACGTGTTGGCCTTCTTCAGGACTTTGAAGAAGGGCAGGGATCTCTCAACTGACCGGGATAGAAAACGGCTGAGGGCCGCTAGACGACCGGTCAACTTTTGAACATCCCTTACAGAAGTAGGAGCTTGCATTTCGGTGATAGCCCGGATTTTTTCTGGGTTGGGCTCTATTCCTCTCTTGGTCACCATGAATCCCAAGAACTTCCCGGTACGAACCGCGAAGACGCATTTCTTAGGATTCAACCGGAGGTTGTATCTTGACATGATATCAAATGTTGCACGCATGTCAGCCAGGTGGTTGAGAGATACCTGGCTTTTAATTAGCTTGTCGTCGACGTATGCCTCCATGGTCTTCCCTAATAGTGGCTTGAAGAGTTTGTTCACCATGCGTTGGTAAGTTGCTCCTGAGTTCTTCAAGCCAAACGCCATCACCCGGTAACAGTAGGTTCTTTCGGGCGTGAGGAATGACATCTTCTCTTCATCTTCCTTGGCCATGTAGATCTGGTGGTAGCCCTTGAAGGCATCCATGAAACATAGGAGTTCGCACCCCGCAGTTTCGTCCACCATTTGATCTGGACTGGGAAGGGGGTATGAGTCCACCGGACAAGCCTTGTTCAAGTCCGTGTAATCCACACACATCCTCCATGTGTCACCCTTGGGAGCAAGGACCACGTTGGCCAGCCAATCCAGATATTTGACTTCCTGGATGTGACCAACACTAAGGAGGTCCTTTACCTCCTTCCGGACGAAGTCTCGCCGGTCACTGGCTAGGTACCTCTTCTTCTGGCATACCGGTCGACTTCCATCCCTCACTGCCAGCCGGTGGCAGATGATTGAGCGGTCAATTCCAGGCATATCTGCCACGCTCCATGCAAATATGCCCGCGTACTCTTGGAGAAAACGCGTAATCTCCGCCTTGAGATCTTCTTGGAGATTTGCTCCAATTCTGACCATCCTTGAAGAATCACCCGGGTGAAGTTCAATCTCCACCGTCTCGGCCTCGGGCTCTAGTTTCTCCCGGATCTCTCCCTTGGTGATCTCTTGGGAGATGACGTTGACCCCCTTCGTCATCTTCTTCACTGCCCGGGCATAGCACTCCCGAGCATTCCTATGGTCGCCTTTCACTTCTCCCACACCACCTGGAGTGTGGAACTTCATGCACAGGTGAGACATGGAAATCACCGCCCGGACTTTGTTGATGCCCGGTCTTCCAAGGATTGCGTTGTGGACGCATTTGATGTCCACAACGATGAACCGCATCTTCTTCCATACGGTCTTGTCACCCGATCCTAGTTCCACCGGTAGAACTATGGATCCTTCTGCTTCCACGGTATCTCCCGTGAAGCCTGAGAGAGGAGTCTTCAGGGGATCAAGTTGTGTCCGACACAACCTGAGTTTTTGGAAAGTTTCCAGGTACAGGATGTTAACACTGCTGCTGGTGTCAACAAGTACCCAGGCGACATCCACCCCGTTAATGTCCATGGTGATAACCAAAGGATCATTATGATCTTCACCGGTAGCTGGGAGGTCCTGGTCAGTGAAGACGATCGGTTCCCTCCTGGTCTGCTTACGCCTGACCGGTTCAGCATTGACTTCGCCAATGTAGATGCTACGGACCCAATTCTTTCGCTGCGCGGCTGAATCTCCACCTTCAGGTCCACCGAATATCATGCCAATGTGTTCCTTATCAGGAGCAGGCTGCTGCTCCCTCTGCCGGTTATTCCTCCGCCGGTCATTGTCCCGGTCATTCCACTGAGCCACTGGCCTGACCCATTGGTGGTTCTTCTCTTGGGCTTTTTGAAAATAATCTTTACCCAGTTCTCCGCTGTCTATCATCTACCGGATGACTCCCTTAACACTCTTGCACTCGGAAGTGTTATGGCAATCTGACCTATGGTACGAACAATACGTGTCCGACCATTGCCGTCTCGGTTGACCGGTAGGAGCTTCTGGAGGATTGACCGGTGCTTTCCTTATCTCCTGGCATTCTTCCGTATTGACCACTCGGACGACTGGGTCATAATGGTGCCTTGGCCGGCTAGGACCTAGTGCTTCTTCCTTCTTCACTTGCACCGGCTTGGGCTTGAAGCCATGCTCAGCTTCTTTCTTCGCCCGGAGTTGGGTTTCAGCCTCAGCAAACTCCCATGCCGTGTGGTATGCTTCTTGATACGTGGCCGGTGGTTTCCTGCAGAACTCCTTGTATAGTTCCCCGGCACGTAAGTCATTCAAGAGAAGGGACAAGACCGTCTTGTCATCCATCTCTTCCACCTTGTCTACCTCTTCCTTCCACCGGGTAAGGAACTGAGTGAGGTTCTCAGATTCCCTCTGCCCGGCTGTACTAAGATACGTGAATTTCTTCCTCTTAGTACAATTCTCCTAGAACTTGGCCTTGAATTTTGAGGCCAAGTAGCTGAATGAATCAATACTCCCTGGGCGAAGCTTGTTGAACCATTCAGTAGCTCGGTTCCTTAAGGTTTGGAAGAAAAGGAGGCACTTTTCCTCGTCTATGCAGCCGTTCATGGTTGCACTTTGGTTGAAGGAGTCCAGATGGATTTCTGGATCCTCCTTCCCAGTAAACCTCGGGGCGTCGATCTTGACCTTTCGCGGGAAAGGTGTCAGATGGACTCTTGTAGTGAACGGGGACCCAGCGAGGGGTTTTTTCCGGTCACTTTTTTCCCCGACTTTCTTCTCCAACCTCTCCAATTTTGCCTCCATCTGCTGGATGCGATCAACCGGTATGGTTAGCCGATTAACCACCGGTAAGCGGGGTTGGCTTTCTGCTTCTTCTTCTTGGCATGAAGCCCTCGTCTTCGCAGGCTCTTGCCGGTTCGACCGGGAGCGCTGGGTACGGGCAGGTTCGACCTCCCTCCCCTCGCCTAACCGGGCGAACGCGCTAACATGGGCAACGCTCTACCCTAATCTCAGTTTGGCCGACTTCCTTTGACCCTCTTCCCTATCTCCAAGCCCTTCGAAGGCGGAGTTTCGGGAAGTTGTCGGCCTGAGGGCCTTTCCCTTCTTCTTCTTGTGGGCTCTGGGGACGTCCCACTCTTCATCATCACTCTCCACAGAGATGCAATGACCCTCTGGAGTTGCCTGGGGATGGGCGTCTTGTGGAGGTCGTGACGAACCGGCGGCGTTGAGTGCACCGATCAAGTTGACGGGGGCCACAGCACTGACCACCTGTGGCTGGAAAGGTGATGGCTGTGGTATCGGTGTCTGGAAGGAAGACACCGCCATCGGAGTTTGCAGAGGCATTGTTCCAGCGCCTGGGAGGGCAAATGGAAACATGCCTGGGAGGAATGGCATCCCCCCATTCTGCTGACACATGGCCATGACCTGGCCAAAGCCTTGGATGGCTTGTAGATTGGCCGGGTCATTCATGAACTGGGTCATGCTTGGTGGGAATGTGACCCTTGGCCCAGCAGAAGGGACGGGGATCGTGAACGGGGTGACCATGCTTGGTGTTGGGATTGAGCTTAATCCCAACGGCGTCACCGGAGCAGAAATAGCCGGTAGGGTAGCAACCATGGGGACGGTGGCTCCCTCAACAGTGGTTTGCACCTGAGCGGAAGTAGCGTTGATTTGCAGGCTTAAAGACATTCTAAGTGGTGTTTTTGTGGGTAGGTTTGTGTTTAGGTGAAAAGAAACCTTAACGGTCCCACGGTCGGCGCCAAAAATGATGGTGTAAATTACCTAACCGGGTAAACTATTCTAGACCGGGTCTAGGACTGTTTACTTGATTCGGAAAGTAAAAGGGTAAAAACACACAAATATGACCGGGAGGACTTTAGGTGGAACACTTGTAGCCCAATTAATATTATAGCAGAGAATGCACGAGTGCTTTTACAAGGGAGTTTAGAGAGAATGAATTCGGCCCCCCATCTCTGAGGTTTACAGCAGTATTTATACTAGGTTAAGGGGGGACAGAGCATCATGCAGCCATGTGGAGGCACGTTCTCGGATGGTGGGAGGTGATGGGCTTCGTCCTCTAGCTGCCTTGTCATCTTGTGAGGAAGATTACTTCCTTTGTCAGGTAGCGCCTTGGATGGAATGTTCAAGCATCTCCAGCGATCTTCTACTGATATGGGTCGCTACAGTCCAAACCCTTTTAGATTCTTTTCTGCCGACGCTTTCTAACCCTGGAAACTACACCGGGTAATTTCCTAGGGACGAGTTTATCGCATTTAAGGAATGAATGAGGCGATGAAGTAGTTTGACCGGTATACTTATCCGAAGTGTACCGGTCAACATTTAGTCCATCGAACATCCTTTAGCTGACGATTAAAGTCTCCCTTTCAAGTTTAACCTCCTTGACCGGTCAACTATCTGGTTCTCTCTTTTGACCGGTTTTGGGTGGATTACACTCATCAATATATAATATCATTTTTATTTAATTTGAAGTCAAAGTTTACTAATTTTGATCGAGAAAAGTCAAAAGTGGACAAATACTCAGGGACGGAGGGAGTAGTATGTAGAGTAATGATGTACTTTTAAAAGTTTGGAGGTAAACATACATTTTAAAAAGAATTTAGAAGTAAAACACTTTAACAAAAAATTAGAGAAATGCTAGAATCACAAACACTTCGGTCACAAAATACACAAATTTATCATTTGTGTATTTAAATGTTTACTTTTTTAATTATTTAACATCATTTTATTTATTTGGTGAGATGCACTGATGGCAAGTTTGCATGGCAAGTTTGTATATTTTGTGACCGAAGTATTTATGACTCTAGTATTTCTCAAAAATTAAGGATTTTATGCACTTTAACTTATTTTATGCTAGACATGATTTAAATTTAGATGCTTGTAATTCATCTTTATGGCACGACTTATGACTGAAAATAACGAACGAGTAACTTTTGGAGTAAAATTTCAAAAACATGACTTAAGTCAAGGGTCGATCAAACCACGAGGGAGTTGAAAATCATGGATCCAAAAATAGACATTAACTAAAACTTAAGCTCCATTTGTGCCAAAATTAACGGTGTCAATTTTTTTTAAAATATGATATGATGTATGGATATGAATTCATCTTATGCATATGAATTAACAAGACTTTGAATGGGCGTGAAGGGACTTTGAATTGGCATGAGGGACTTTGAAAGGGCGTTTCCCAGCCCCGTAACCAGCCCCTCATGCCCTCATTCAATGCCATACCAAACGTGAATAGGTGTTGCCCCGGTGGCTATGATAGCCATCCCGCTATTGAGAGTTTTTTTTTTGCAATCAATCAAAATTTAACAAATATTCACTACAATCAATCAAAATAAGCTACATTTGACTCCACTTTCCGACTATTTTTTTTACTCACACCCAACTGCTTATGGGGTGCCTACGTGGCACTTCATCAAGCTCGTCAAGCCCACCATAACACATGGTCTAAATAATAGGGTATTCTTTTTTCTCCTAGAAAATTAGGGGTATTTTTATTTGTATAAATTTTGTGCTTTAAAATGGTGGGTTTTCAATATTTAATTCTCTGTTACCAACTATTATGTTCATGCAATGGTCCTTCATTTATGAGTACCGTTCCACGTATATTCTAGTGTCGGCTTGATGAACAAACAATTGCAATAATAATAACTATGGATGCAGACTTAGATTTCTACCAACAAAGACAGTTTTGAACTATAGTTGTGGCGGACGGCGGCCGGCTCAAGCGGACAAAGAGCACATCAGCAACTACCTCTGACAATGAATATGGCTAAACGGATGTAAGGCCCATGTTAAATGAAATTTTCAGTCCTCAATTTCACATCAACATGATGAAGAGTAGAGTAATTAAAAAACACAATATCCATGAAAAAATATCTATAAACAAAGACTGAGAAAGTTGTACTCCCTCCGTCCCACTGTCTTTGTCCACTTACCTTTTGGCACACCATCCAATGCACTTCTTTAATCCATTTTTTCTTGTAATTTGTATATTAAAAAATTATATAAATTATATATTAATAATCTATATGTTAAGACGAATCAAACAAGATCACACATGACTATTTTTAGGCTTACACATTGAGAGAATTTGATGAGTCAAAGTGCTTAAATGAACAGTTCCAAAAGTCAAATGTGGTCAAAGACAGTGGGACGGAGGTAGTATTTGATATTGGAAGTCTAAGTATAGGAATTGCATGTTTTAGAAGACCAATTATAGAATTTATTATTTTTTTTGTTAAGCTAAAGTGGTTGAATTTTTTGAAATTACAATCATGTGAGAGAAGTTAGATTGGAATTTAATTACAATTAATATTTGAGGGGAAAATATTGTGGAGCTAATATGATAGCTCACTATAATAATGTGGAAAAACATAAAGGAGAAGAAACTCCAGAGGTTGACTTATTTAGGCGTTGGTTTGGGAGTTTCACGGGTTGAAGAGATTTTAAGAAGCATTACACCGCGAGTTCTTCTTTGGTACATCTTGGGTGTATATAATTTTAACGGACTTTCTCACATAAAAAAATTTATTTTTATTAAAAAAAACGGGTGTTTATTTAAGTAATAAGGAAATACTTATTTTACTCATATGTAGATCCATGATGGACCTTAGATCCACCAAAAAATTTGCCTTAAACTGCTTTGATTTAGTTGTAAAATGATTACTCTCTCCATTTCCAAATAACTATGTATTAAGATTTTCAAGATACATTAAGATTTAAATAAATATATATGGGCACATAATGTTCGTTTATATTCGTTCAGAATTTTTCCATCATCTCTGATGGAGTCAAAATTTCACCATTTTTGGATTTGGGGTGTGATGGAATAAATCAAAATGGATCTCTAAACTATCTGCGCTTCTTTAATTAATGAAGTAGCAGTTAGTCAAACACTGCATCTTTCGATGTTGAGCCGGGGGTCTCTTTGGAAACAACCTCTCTACTTTCGAGTAGGGGCAAGGTCTGCGTACACACACCCTCCCCAGACCCTACTCTTGTGGGATTTAATTGGGTTGTTGTTGTTGTTGTATATTCGTTCAGAATCTAAAGTAAAATATAATAGTAAACAGTTATTTAGGAAGAGAAAGAACACAAGCAAACCAAGTCCCCATTTCTCATTTGCAAGTAGAATTTAGAATAAATTTATATCAACCTTACCTCTATGTTAAAAAGTTAAAGACAATTCGAAGAAGACCATAAATAGTAAAACGTAGTTGATCATGTTACACAAAAAACTTAAATAAATTAAAGTTTACTTCTCTGATACTCCACGTATCCTCCTTTACAAAAGAGATTCTTCAATAAACTTAAAAAGTATTACGTTGTAAAAAAAGAAATAATGTAGTCCCTTTGTTCTAAAAAAAAGTTATTGTTCGATTTACAATGTTTGGTTAAAGCTAATTTCAAATCAATATAAATGAAATTGGTGTAAAACTAAAAAATAAAAATTATGTACTAATAACCTAAATAAAAAATTAAACAAAATAACTGATGACACGGTGATTTTAGTTTATCAAATTATCGATAAAGATGTATAACGAAAAGAGAGGGAATGTTATATTGAGACCGAGGGAATGTTATTTAAACATGTTTAAAAAAGAAAAAAGATAAATCATATGTTGTTTTATAAATTTCTATGAAATTGAGAAGTAGATTATGAGACGAACAAAAAAGTGCAATCATCCATTTTGACAAATCTTGGGTATATATTTTTTTCTTCTGATTTGATTTGATTAAGTTCTAATGATTTTAATCTAATATGATCTGATTGTAATTTTATTTAAAACTATTTCTGATCTGAAAAATATAAAATAACAAAAAAAAAGGAATTTTTTTTAAATATATTTATTGAATATAATTTTTTAATGGACAATGTGAAATTTTATAATATAAAGAATTAATCATATGCAATGAAATTCACTTTAATTAGTTAGGGTCCCATCACTTTTAATTGGGGTCAATTTACATAAAGCTTTTAAAAATATTATAATATGTATTTATTTTCTTACTATTGTTATTATTTTTGTAACAAGATCAATCAGCTGTCATGGATTGTTATGAAGTGTGGACTTGTTTTATTGGTCCCTAGTCTTCCGAAAGAACTACACATACTTAGCAACACAAATTAGTACTTGGTCACTTAGAACAATGTTTAAACACAACAAAATAGTGGTTATTCCCATAGGAAAACACTTTATTTCAATATATATGAAATAATCACACAAGATATTAACCAATTACCTCCCGGGGCATAGGCGACATGAAAGATGCGGATGCAGTACTTGAGATTTACCTTTTTCAACTGTCATTATTATCAGGATAATAGTATCATTTAAGCTTATTTGTTTTCAAATAGCATTTTACAATAGAATCTATGACTATATTTATTAAATATTAAATATTATAAAATCAATTCATTTATTTATTAAACTGTAATTTCTATTTTGCGCATTCCATAACCTGAATTTCATGTACCAAATGGAACTTTATTGTAGTAATCGGGTTGCCATGGAATTGGATTTGAAACATTTTATTCCAATTATTCTCTTTGGTAGCACAAAAATATGTAGAATAGGAAATGAATTCTAATTCCAAATCTTTCAATTCCACATTTTAAATTCCATAGCACAGGAAATGAAATCAAATTTTAAAATTTGAATTCTATAGGTCAAAATAAAATCAGGCAGATCTTTTCTAGGTAAAAATAAAAATAAAAATTTAAAATTTAAAAATAAAAATTAAAAATTAAAAGTTAAGAACTAAAAACTAAAAATTATAAACTAAAAACTAACAATTAGAAACTAGAAATTTAATGCTTCAAATTTCGAACTAAAAATTTAAAACTTTTAAATTTAAAATTCAAAATTATAAATTGAAATTTAAAATTTAAAATTTAAAAATTAAAATTCAAAATTCAAAATTAAAAACTTGAAATTTAAACTAAAAATTAAAAAAGAAAAACTGAAAATTTCAAATTTGAAATTTAAAATTTAAAATATAAAATAAAAATATAAAATTTGAGATTTAAAATTTAAAATTTAAAATTTATATTTTAAATTTTAAAATTCAAAATTTTAAATTTTCAATTCAAAATTTATAATTTAAAATTTAAAACATATATTTGAGAATTTAAAATTTAAAATTTTAAACTAAAAAACTAAAGTTTAAAGTTTAATGTTTAAAATATTAAAAATTATAATTGATTATTTAAAATATAAAATTTAAAATTTCAATTTAAAAATTTAAAATTTCAATTTAAAAATTTAAAATTTAGTTTTCGGAAATAAAATTTCAAATTAGTTACTTTCAATTAAATTTCAAATAAACATAATATTAAATTATAGAATTTAAAAATTTAAAATCTAAAATCTTCAAAAAAAATAATAAACATAAACAAACATTAAAATCTAATTTTTAAAGTTTATTATTTAAAATAAACATTTAATATTAAATTATAAAATTTTTGCATTTTTTATTTATGTTTTTTTAATTTTTAATTTTGAAATTTAAATTTTTAAAGCTTAAATTTTAAATTTTAAATTGTTTAAATTTTTAATTTTAATTTTTTTAAATTTTAATTTTAGATATAAGATTTTAAATTTCACATTTTATCTTGTAAATTTTAAATGTTTAGTTTTAAACATTAGGTTTTAATTTTTAGTTTTTATTATTAATCTTTAATTTTAAAGTGTAAATTTTATTTTTTTAGTCTATATTTTGTAATTTTAATTTTTTTATTTTACATTTAAATTTTTAAATTTTAAGATTTTAACATCCCGCTAATTTAATTAGGGTTTGAAAAGAGCTACTCCCTCCATCCCACTGTCTTTGTCCACTTACCTTTTGGCATACCATCCAATGCACTTCTTTAATCCATTTTATCTTGTAATTTGTATATTAAAAAATTATAGAAATTATATATTAATAATCTATATGTTAAGACGAATCAAACAAGATCACACATGACTATTTTTAGGCTTACACATTGAGAGAATTTGATGAGTCAAAGTGCTTAGATGAACAGTTCCAAAAGTCAAATGTGGACAAAGACAGTGGAACGGAGGTAGTATGATTTTGCTTTGAATAACTCTACAGTGAGAAATCAAAAAGACAATTTCATATTAATTCTATTTTCTATTTTGTATTACCAAACAAAGGATTTGGAATAACAATACAATCCAATATCAATTCTTTAATTATACCAAACAAAGGATTCGAAAATGAATTAGAAATCACTTCCATAGAATTCCAATTCAAATTCTGTGTACGAAACAACGTCGTTAAGAAAACACGGAATATAAAATGTGCGAAAAACTTCTCGTTTCAAAATCGTTCCTTGCAAAATGGACGAATAGTGGAAGTTTCCCAGGGACTGGCTTCACAATTTTGATCTCATCTCAATATTAGGGTTTTGGAACCGCTAAAATTGTAGGACATTAGAATGGAGGATGGACATTGCGAAGAAGCGTTAATAAATAATTAGAAGAACAACTTGATAGAGTATATCGAATTGCGTAAAACGCTTTCAGATCAAAGTTATTTCGGGATATACCAAAATACTTTAATCAGATAAGACGTTAATCAAGAACAAGTATTGAAAAAATCAGATCCCTCCACCATACCCACGAGACTCTATTTATAGAGTCGAAAATTGATGATCAGACGTGAAAGTTTGCGTAGACGTGAACGTTGGCACAAAGAGATAAAAACGGAAAAACGTGAAAGTTTGCTTGAGGAGAAAACGTTCGCGCGAAAAGATCCTTGCAAACCTTTCTAAAAAAGTCAAAAGTGGACAAATACCTCAAGACAGAGGGGGTATTAATTAGATAAAATTATATTTTAAAAATATTTTATATAATAAATATAATAAACTATTTTGTTATCAATATTTAAATCATTTTTATTTAATTTGAAATCAAAATTTACCACTTTTGACCGAAAAAATAAAAAATGGACAAATACTCCAAAACGGGAGAAGTATAAAGTATTGTTAAGTGAAATATCCTTCTAAATGCTCCTCATAGTGATCATATATGGTTCACAGTATTTCTTTTGAAAGTGGATGCAGGGCTAATCTTTTTTGAAAAATAATAAATCCGCATCTGTTTTCATGTAGTATAAATAATTATTATTTTTTTTAAGATTTAGGGTTAGTATTCCATATTCACATTTGATTCCCATATACACAGTAGGCAACAATTCAATATGCCTCTAGTGCAGCATCAGCACGGGCCTCTACCGAGTATTAACCAATATTCGTAAAAATTCGTGTCATACACATGTCATTTGTAATGTTTTAATATCATGTACGGAGTAGTTCGTTTTCTAATTATCAATAATCTATTATGTAGAAATATTATCTTTGTCTTTGGAATTTCCTAAGTTATATAGAAGGAAATTTTTTCGTTATGAATTACACTCCTAATTAAATTTTAATAAATGACAAATGGAGTATAATAACGAAATTCTACTCATGCAACGCACGGGTACGAATCTAGTACTATGTGCAACGCACGGGTACGAATCTAGTATTAGTAAAAAGTAACATGAACATAAAATAAAGATACCTAATGAACGGAAAGGGTAACACAATGCACAAAGCATCAAGCCGAAGAGGGTACGGGTAGGATCACACCATAATGGCATGAAGTAGAGTTTTATACTAACCGTCGATTTAATACAGGGCCATAAAAGTTGAAGCATTTTCCATTTTAACAGAGATGGCAGAACAAATTCCTCAACACCTAAATTTCCGATGTAATAATCAGTATAAATGTAATTTAAAACAAAGTAGTTCAACACCAGCTAGGTTGTCTCACCGCTGCACATCTTATGCCAGTATAGATGCATACCTACGCCAAAGCTCCCACGAGGCGACACAAGATTGGGATGGATAAAAATATCCATTGAAAACAGACCAGCAGAAATCCATAATAGGGGAAGATGATGATTGAAGAAGACTGAGCAAGAAACATTGGGAGAATATCACTGCAAATATGCGACGTAGTTATCATTAAAAGACATAATAATGATGAATGATAACCCAAGACGTGCATCAAGTGAGAATGATATGATTGCAATAATGCAAATGATACTAGATGATGTGTAGTTGGGAGTATACCCTAAAGTTTTCTTCACGCAGTATGCCATGAGTGTTGTACAAACATGCACTAAAACATTAAGAGCAGGATTAAGAAACCCAAGTTTCTTCCACATAAAGCACCAGACGAAGCATGAGAGCTCATGTCTTGACAAAACAATACCATGAATAGAACATATAAGGAAACTATTGTTACACACAGGAATTTTATTCTAATTCCTCCCAATACAAGGATATTAGTACCCACCACTACCAACAAAGGTATTTGCATATGTAAAGTTTACTTCCATTTAGTACATTTTGCAGCCCATACTAACACTTAAAAGACCAAACATTTCCCTTTTTTGAACACTTTCCAATCCCAGATTTCTAAAATTCGGATAACAAGTTCATGATTTATGCAGGGAAGCGGTGCCAATTCCAATCGCATATTAGAGCACAAGAGTTCTGGAGCTCTCTAAAGACAATTGTTACTTAACAAGATTTTGCAAAATGCTATACATTATGAATAGCAGTGTGTGTGTGTGTGTGCATGGGGGGTGGGGGTTGTAGCCAAACCTCTTCTAGCTATTGAAGTGAGAGCCAGAAATGTATGTTGATGTGAGGTGGAGGCCAGAGATGCATGTGCTTTACGTAAGCTCTGAGCTCTTAATCAATTTATAAATTCAATTGCTTCACATGATAATGCAAAGAGTCAAGAAGATGCACAATCATACCACGTGCAACAATAATTGAACACTCAAATACTAGGCTCAGTAGAAGTCCCATTGATATCTAACCAAAAGAATTCAACAGTGTTAGGTTGGTTGTAGAGACTGGTTAATATCTGGTGTCCTGTCATATATTAATTTTCACGCAGTTCAACCTAGAGCGTACCTTTTATTATCATTTATTCTTTGCAGTTGTACATACTTTGAATCATCAATATATAGCCCTACCGACGTGGAGGTTACCCACGTGGTGTCACTCTCTCATTTCTCTCTCTAGCTCCCTAATTCTCTCCCAGAATTTCTTCATCTTCATCAGATTTCGTATGTGTGTGATTCAATCCTAACAAACAGCTCATTAGATTCTAAGTTTTGCCTACATGATTCTAAGAATAGGCCAAATACTAGAATGATGAATTTTCAAGACAGACCAAACCAGAAGGCCACAAATTTTTAATCTATTGCACCTTAAGCACAATCAGTGCCCAAATACATGAGTTGTCCTCTATAGACCAACTAACGCGATTCTTGGATAAAGAGGGAACTAATTTTCCATTCAAATTTTGAACTAAGTCTTTCCATCTTTGAAAAGAATAAAATCAAGAATTATGGCAATGGCCAAAGGGTAATACACTTCAGAATAAAGGTTGGTTCAAATCTACTCACTTGGCTATCTGATTTACACACCAACTTCAGGCTATAAATGCCTTCATGTGTATCTACACTTAATTTAACGATTACAAATTAACATTTCAGGCTGACTTTTTATTTGCCTTATGTCTTGTACTATTACTGAGATATTCAAGAATTTCTTCAACCTGTGCAGAGTGTTGAGGAACTCTGGGTTACATAACAATAATTAAGGTGTTCCAAAGCCAAGCGTAAGCTATCCATGACTCATGTAGGTGTATTGTAGGTGGCCACTGCCAGTCCAAAGCATGAATTGCAACCTCTTAATCAAGTACCATAAGGGATTTTTCCAAACTAACTCGCCATACACCCATCAATCTTATTATAGAGAGACATTTCAGTTTGAGCCATAAGTCCACAATAATAGCCAAATGCAATATCTGGTTAAGCTTTTTTGAAATTGGAAGGTCAAATCAAATTAAATGATCAAGTATACTCATCACAGATGGGATGAATCAGTTTCTATGCCTAGTTGATCTCTTGTTCAAAGAAAGATTAGGAAAGACTAAAAGATATAGAAGTGAAAGGTGAGTGAGGCACGCACGAGGCACAAGGGTCTGTCCATCATTGATCCTGAATTCTTGATGTGGGCTACGTTCCTGAAGTGTACGCATACATGCGCATTAGAGCATGAAGCAATGCGACCGGGGCACAAGAGAGGCGTTCCTCGGGGCTATAGTTCTCCATTTTATAGTTGTATCACTATTAAAGAAACAGTAGGGTTATGTTATTGAAAAAAACACCATCACATCTCAATGCGACTCCATGCATCTTTCAGCTCCTCACCTCCATTGCATTGTTAACAAATTGTTATTAATAGAGACCTTTGTGTCGCATCTCTCTTCTTCTTTGAAGCTCAGAGAGATGCAATAAAGGTGACCAGTACCAGGTATATTTCATTCTAATAGTTTTGAAGAACTTTCCCTACAAGGTTGTTTTGTAGAACTTGCAATAACAGGTTATTTTGTAGAACTTGTCCTACCAAGTTGTTTTGAAGAACTTGTCCTACCAAGTTGTTTTGTAAAACTTGTCTTTATTCCTTCAAATTTCGGTGTGCATAACTAATATTGAGATACTACCTTTTATCTCCATTTGCGCCTCACATTCTTGAGGCGTGCACCTCATGGGCACATCAGGCCTCAGTGCACAAAATTGTCACGGGCGCAAGGTGCACCGAGGCACAAAGGGGCCTTGGAGCCTCGAGGGATGATGCACTGGGCTTTATGCAAGACGAGCATTTTCACAACTATGTAGGTGCGCCTCGCTCCCTTAACAACTATGGACAAAGAAGAGTGCTGTGTACACGGTGAGGCATGCACTGTTTTGTATGTGCATTCCTCTACACAGTTGATAAACCCACCCATTTTGCACAAGTGAATATTAAGCTTCCTTCCAAATTACCATCAACTAAAACACGTTTCAAAAATTCTAGAGGCAATGGTTACTGCCTTTTTCTGGTCCGAAGAAGAACAAAAAATATAGCAAAATAAGAAAGGAGGCCTATGAAGCTGCTGCAATTCCTTGGTACCACATTCCCGCCGTTGCAAAAGCCACAATAGCCTCGCCCGAAGTTACCTAAGCTCAGTTTATCGCTTTCAAGTTTCTCATTTTTTTTTGCATGAATTCATTGGTTTTTCAATATCTTTTGGTTTTTTCAAATGTATGCAACCCAGTACGTTGAATGGTTTTCTTCCCATATGGCACCTGACAACTTTATACATGGTTTATTACTTTCTAGAGAGCATGTTTTCTTATTTTCTGATGTGTGCCTTTTCCTGTTTCTCTCCCTCTTTTTTTTTGTTCCCATAGTTATTTTTGTTGTTTGTAAGAATTTTGATTTTATTTGATAATATTACTTTCATGTCTAAATACTCTGTATCTAGACCTGTGCAAACAATGGTCGGCCCGTCCGGCCCGCCCTTTAAAATGGGCGGATATGGACAATCTTTAATACCCACATGGGCGGGCCGGCCCGAGCCCGAATTGTATTTGGGCGGATCTGGAAGTTACTTTTAGCCCATCTGGGCCAACAGGCCCGCCCATATTCATTAAATACATTTACTTTATTATTAATTACCTAGACAATATAAATTTTAAAATTTTCTTTAATTCATGCATAATAGTTCATATCACTCACGCCTCTTAAACAAAAATCAATAGTCTTTTAATGAATCTGTATGATGGGTTTATTAATTATGTAACAATATTTCTATTATGTTTTCGATGTAAATGTGGCGAGTGGTAATTTTATTTTAAACATTTGAAAACGAGTTCAATATTTTCTTTTTGATTTTTTTGTGTAAAAAAAGATTTTCTTGATGTTTTATCCGGGCCGGGCGGCTCGATGGGCAGTTCGGCCCGCTAAGGTGGGCAGGTATGGGTAAAGAGTTTAGCCCATCAAATCCGGGCCGGGCCAAGCCCGCCCATGCAAATGGGCTAATAATTTGTATCAAGCCCGGCCCGGATCCTTATTTGCACAGGTCTATCTGTATCTAATCCCCCCCCCCAAATCCCATATAAATCATCACATATAGCCTATCTCATAAGAGCATTTATTCAAATTTTCATATATTATTTATTAATGCAGGGGCAATCCAATGTTACCTATCTCACATGAGCATCTATTTAAATTTTCAGATATGTTTCACTAAAACACATGCAGAAGGTTTTGTGATATTTCCGATTATTTTGTTGAAAAATTATCAAGAAAAAAGGCAGGAGTGCCTCAAAATTAATAATCAAGGCTTGACGCCTCATGTATAAGAAAATAATCATAATTCATAAACAATATTCGAGGAAGCAAAACTAATTTTATGTTGCATTGCTTCTTAAAACACATATCTAACAACCCTAGTAAATATAAAACAAAATTATGCTGAACTATTTCCCAGCTCATTATATTATATCTTGAAAAAGTAATAATAATAATAATAATAATAATAATAATAATAATAATAAGAAAAATGTCAATTAAATCTCACTCAGTGGAAAACATTTTTTTGCAGACACTTTTTTGCACAGCCAGACAGTTCAATTTCAAAGAACCAACTAAACGCATGGAATGCAGCTATCACCAAATCTCCACACCATTTCAGCTTATATTTTGCAGTAGCAAACAAGCCAAATATAAATTCTTATAATCATTTATATAAGAAAATACAATTTTAATAAAATGCAACTTTGAGTTGTTTTGGGGAGTGGTGATGCTTTAACTTCTGGATAGTACATCTGTAATCAAAACCTAATACCAAATTATTTTTTGAGAGAAACTATTATCAGTTGAACTCTTATTTAAAAAGTTCAAGTGCATATAAAAGCTAATTTAAACACATAATTACTCTATTGAATATATTGAATAAACCTTTCTTCTTAATATCATAATATACAGCAAATTTCCAGTTTAGCAGTCAAACATCACACAAAATTTCCAACTAACTGAAGGCTCATTCCAAAGCAAACTTGTTAGGAAGTGACAATTCATGATACCATTATAAACAAGCAAATTCTTTTGTGGCATATAACAATTACTCTTCCCCTAATTAAGTCAACACTAATCACATCACGTTTTCTGTCCTAAAGACATGAGAAGCATTATAGTTTTACAAAATCAAATTTAAACAGATGAGTTATCAAAGAAAAGGTCAGAGGGGAGAAAATTCACCTTTGTACTCTGAAAGTGCAGGCCCACCATCAAAACCCCACTCGGCACTGCTTTGGAGCCCTTACCAAGTTGCCAGAAGATAAACGTTGGGCCTAAATTGCAAGGACATGGTATGGTAAGAAATGGGAAACATAAATGATACTAGCAAAAAGGGGAAATGGTATATCTAATGCAAAACAGTTGTTGAAAGAATGAAAGATTACCGTGTGGTTTCCCGAATGGGCGCTGCTTTCTAAGAGTTGGACCTTCAAATCCCGACAGTAAACTCTCAGAATCCTCCTCTTTGTCCTCCATGATCCGGTCTTGAACCAAACCCTGGTCACTAGAATGACATTGAAGTCAACATTGGACTTGTCCCTGTTGATCCCTTTCACAACCCAATCATCGACGAATGTTCCAGAGGCAGTAAATGTCCCTTTTGAGGCAGTCTCGCTCTTTGTATCCTGAGCGAAAGGTGCAAGGCTGGTTCCTGCAAGCAGCTCCGAGTCACCATAGAGAATAGAGGCCTGAATGTCTTCATAGTATACAGTCATCTTCTTATTAGGGTTCCGAGCAGTGAACTTCAAGTCCCAATTCGCTGAGAGAAAGTTGCTGGAGAGGTTGAAATCAGAAACAGAAAGTGAATCGACTCGGAACTCAGGGAGCTGGGGACGGAAGGCGAGCCAGACAATGAAGAGAATCGTGCCGGCCATGAAGAAGCAGGCTAAGATCACGCCCACTACGCGTCTAAGGAAGTTCGCGCGTTGCAGCGAGTAAGCGTCAAGGGCATATGGGGGTTGTGGGCCGGAGGGATAGTGGCTGTCGTAATTGAAGGCGTACGGACCGCCGTGCTGTGCCGCAGGATACGAGTAGGCCGTGCCGGCTGAGGGAGGGTAACCGTTGGGATTAGGCTGGGCAGGGTAGCCAGTGGCAGGCTGCGGCGGCGGATGCGGCGGCCGAGATTGATCGCCCATAGTTGCAGAGAGGATCGAGCACCTGAAGACTACTGCGTTCGGTTTGCCGGAAGTCGGCGAGGAGTATGAGGTGAATGGAGGGCAGCAGCAGCAGCATATTTCCTTGCTTCCTTTATGGATAATGACCTAAGCATCACGCGTAGGCCGGAGATAAATTAACGTTTAACACAACACTTACGTCCCAATTTTGCTCACTCCTTATTCTAATCTTTTTTTTTTAGAAAAAAAAAATAGGGTTACACCAACTTCTGTACTCTCTTTCTGTACTCTCTTTGCTTTTTGAGTATTTCTCCATTCTTTTATTTTTTCGATCAAAATTGATAAAATTTAACATCAAAATAAACACAAATAATATTAGATATTAATACAAAAATAGTATTTTAGATTTACTATATCAAATATTTTCAAAATATTATATATATATATATATATATATTTGTGTGTATATATTTGTATGTATGAAAAAATATATAACTAATAAAAATTATACCTCTCATTTATAAATACCCGAAATAAATATTTTATGACAGTTGACCAAAATTATAAAAAATTTAATTTTCTTGAGTTATGTCACTAAACTTAAAGATAAAATTTACATTTTTAAAATTAATATTAAAGTTTATAAAATAAGAGGTGATTTTATTTTTTTCAAATTACTTACCCAATATGAAAGAACACTCAAATAAAATATTTGAGTGATATGAATTATATTTTATCATGGTATTAATTGTATCAATAGTTTTAAGTTTGAACCATTGCTATAATATTATATTTTTTAAAGTATAAAAAATAAAATAAAATCCTTTAGAATTTTTATTTTGTTAACCATCGAATGTTTAAAATATTAAACTTATATATAACAAAAAGTATTCTAGCTTAGATCGTCAACAACTTAACTAAGTATCTAAAATATTAGGTGTACGAACTCCTATTGACTACATTGGCATGTCATGTCAAATTCTTAAAACTTTGCTATTAGGCAGCGTTCCATTCAACTTATTTTTTCAGCTTATTACTTATTCTTGTTAAATCAGATCAGACCAAACCAGATCAGACTAGATCAAATCAGATCAGATCAGATCAGACCAACCCAAATCTAAACAAAATTAATATTTTTATTCTTATTATTATTATTACTATTATTATTATCACCATTATTATTAGTATTATTGTTACTATTACTATTACTATTACTACTACTACTACTATTAAGATTATGATTATAATTATTATATGATTATGATTATTATTATTATTACTACTATTAATATTAATAATATTATTATTGTAACTATTATTATTACTATTATTATTATTACTATTATTATTGTTGTTGTTACTAATGTTATTATTGCTATTACTATTATTATTATTACTATTATTACTGTTATTATTATTATTATTATTTCTATTTTTATTATCATTACTATTATTTTTTTTATTATTATTACTATTACTATTACTATAAATATTATTATTACTACTATTATTTTTACTATTACTATTACTATTAATATTACTATTATTATTATGACAATAATTATTATTACTATTGTTATTATAATTATTACTATTATTATTATAAATACTATTAATATTATGATTATTACTATTACTATTATTACTATTATTCTTATCATTGCTACTAATATTTTTATTTCTATTAGTGTTATTATTATTAATATTTCTATTATTATTATTATTATTTCTATTATTATTATTACTATCATTAAAGTTATTATTATTATTAGTAATATTATTTATTTTAATATCAATATTTCTATTATTATTACTTCTATTATTAGTAGTAGTATTATTATAAATATTATTATTATTACTATTTTGGTTATTATTATTATTATTACTACTATTATTATTATTTCTATTATTATTACTATTAGTATTAATATTTCTATTATTATTATTACTGTTATTATAACTATAATAATAATTTTAACTTTAATTTTAATTTTAATCAAATTTATATCAGATCAGATCCAATCAGATCAGACCAGATCAGATCGAATCACATCAGATTAGATCAGATTAGATCAGATCAGATCAGATGAACGGAACGCAACCTAAGTTTATATGTACATGAGTTTTCCTACGAGCCATTCACGCATTGGCCCACAAATTTGCAAAACAAATAAACCCCAATGAAGCACATTTTTTATAACAAATTCACACAAAAAGTGTTCTGACTGACCGATTTTTACGGTTTACACTTCTTTAGACCGATTTAAAGTAGATTGTCGTCCAAAAGACTGGACCGGACCATTAGACCACTAGTGCACCTGTTCACGATCCAAACTAGCCTGTGCGATCCAATTTTTAAAACCCTGCTATTTAGACCCTTTTCTTTTCAGTTAGAATTTCAATATTGGAAAACTCCAGAAGGAGTTGGATTTTGTTAAAAAATTGAAGTATTAAAAAGTCTCTAGATTAAATGATCGCCCAAAAAATAAGTTAGAAAACTCTAATTTTGAATAAAAAGAATTTATCATTGTTGTGTTTGAGGTGATATGTTATAAATTTAAATATATAATGTTATTTTACATTAATCATATATAAATATATTTTTTAAGTTGTGGTTGGAAAGGAATAGAAAAAATTAGAAGAAATTAGAACGAATTAGAAAGAAACTAAAAAGAGTTAGAAGAAATTAGAAGGTAACTACACCCAAAAGGAAACACCTTAGTCTATATGTACATGAGTTTACCTAGGTACCATTTACGCATTGGCCCACAAATAACAAAACATTAACACAAATATTTATGGTGTATTACTTCCGTCTTTGAATATTTGTCAAATTTTGAATTTTTCAATAAATTGTTTTTAACCATTGACTTATAATTAAACAAAATTTATATTTTATATTAATTAGATAAAATAATATTTCAAAAATATTTTATATAATAAATCTCATAAAAATATTTTTGTATCAATATCTAATATCATTTTTATCAACGGAACACCGTAGGTGCCCGGGTCATAATATGACCTAGGGTTTCAAGGTCAAAAGATTTTGCCCGATAATAATAATAATAATAATAATAATAATAATAATAATAATAAGATGCCAAGAGTCATGAAAAAGAAGAATGACTCAAAAGAATAACTTCCATAGGAAGGAACCGATAAGTCATTTGGCCAATAAAAGAATGGATGCAAATAAAGCAAGGTATATCCATGGTCAAATTAAAGAAATCCTTCGTTGGTTTTTTGTATATAAATCCACAGAACATATGATTAGCCACAGCATTAAGATCAAATAAAAGCTATAGCGGTTAAAGAATATTACGAAAAAAAATTAAAAGGAAGAAAAAAAAGAGTGGGATTTTAATAGATAGAAATGGAAGTTAAGAATGATGCATGCCCAATTCCACTCTCTTATAACTATGAAGATGTAAATGTAGAATTTCAAATGCAGAACTTGCCTACATATGACACTCTAATCCTCCATTTACCTGATGGTGAGTTTTGTTTCCCCATTACCTCTTTTTTATTTTATTTTACAAATACCATTAGGGTCCGTTTGGTAGTTTGAATCCATGTACCAAACGGGGCCTTAATCAATTAAAAATAATATACTTATAATTTGTAGGTTTCACAATGGACCATGCAAGTATTGGAGTAACAATTGATTCCCAAGCACATAACTTGTTAACCATCTCCGGGCATAAGCACGACGAAGGCGACAAGTGGAACCGATTTGTTAGACAATTCAACGTTTCGAAAGATTGCGATCGGTCGAGAATGTATGCCACATTCAAAGATGAGAAAGATCTCTACGTAACCCAATTCAAACCCCCGTCTATGCTCAATCTCCCCGCCATGGAAGAAGTTGTTGTTGCAGACCCAAATGCAATAGCTTATACAAATGGCCTACACGTAGACGCAGAAGTTGATGATAAAGGCACCCTTCATTTACCAGGTCATGATTTTCCCCTTTAATTAGCATATATGGGAGTCTGACGCAAAGCGAATAATATCATATCAATGCGCACCGAAATAATTTGACCTTTTGGATACATATATTGCAGGTTTCACAGAAGAACAAGTAAGGGTTGAAGTAATAGAATCTGAACAAGTGGTCAAGATAAGTGGGCATAAACAGCCCCCGGGCGGGAGGATGTACTATACAGAAGAGGTATATAAGCCTTCTGAATTCAAGGGGTGGATTCGGTGTTTAAAAGAGTACCCGATTTCACCCGAGTTTGACACGAATCAGATCCAGAAGAAAACCGAAAAGGAAGGCCTGTATATAAAGCTAGCCAAATTCGACATACCCATAGCAGAGTCCATCAATAATAAAGCAGAAGAAAGAAAGGAAGAGAGTGTGATGATAATGAACAGAATGCCATCCCACAAGATTTCAGATTATGGGTTACAGGGAAATAATGAAAGAGATTTTGGGATGATAGAGCTAAAAGGAGACGATCCGCGGGTGGTACACAGTGTTGGGCGTTGGGCGGACGGCCCGTCTGAACCCATAGTTCTGCCTACTGAAGTGTTGAAGGGTTTGAAATTTGAATAGAAAAAGGCGGCCTCCCGTTTGGACGATGTTGAAGGAATGAAAGGCGTGTGTTCAATAAATGAGCGCGGCATATATGGTTTACAATAAAGTTGATAAATAAATGTGAAGAATCATGATTATCATAGAATATAATTAACATTGCTACATCATTATAGGGCGTTGAATTTAATATGTTAGTGCTTGGGAGTTATTCAATATAATGGAACAGTCGTGCTTATATGAATATTGTATAATCATTCATTACGAAAACTTATATTCTCATTTTTTTTATTATTACCTCCGTCTCAGAGTATTCGTCTAGTTTAACTTTTTCGAGTCAAAATAGATAAATTTTAAACCTCAATTAAGTAAAAACTACAATGTATATTAATATAAAAATGATTTTATTAAATTTAATTTGTTTAGAACTTTCAAAATTTTATTTCATTGTATTAATGTGCAATACAAATTGAGAGTAATTGATGATTAAAGTTTGTCTAGTTTGACTAATTGGTTGTGGAGTAGATAGAGTTTGAAGAAAATGAAAATAGTTTGAAAAAAATGGAAAGAACGAAAAGAAATTAGAAGAAACTGAAAGAACTGGAAAAAACTTGCAATCAAGTAGAAGAAACAGAAGGAATTGAACTAACAAGCCACAACTATTCGTGTCAACAAAACCCCAAACTCCAGTCGAAACAGACTAATTTTACCGTGTTTTTGAAAATTACAGGCACACTAGTTGTTCACCGTTTTAACTAACAAGCCACAACGATTCGCTCTCTTCACCCTGTCCATCATCATCATCATCATCTTCTTCTTTCTTTTTTCATATGGGAGATCTTTCCATGGACCGTTTGGCTCTCAAGATCAGAATCTTCTTCCTCCAGTGGCTCCACTGCAGATCTCGCCCCAGTAAGCTCCTACTACTGTTTTACTGTCAGTCAGATTATTATGTTTCTTGAAAGCCCGTCTTGTGTTCTTGAAACTGCACTGCATAATTTCAACTCTATTGGTCTTTCCTTCTGGGAATGCATTTCTTCCCATTCAATTTCCTGGGCATCTGATAAGATCATAAGAGAAAAGACTACTTATTCAAGATTCTGTTAAGTTGTCTGAATGACCTGAATCATTAGCCTCAATTAACCCTGGACTAATTCCACTTTAGATCTCGTTTAATTCAAATTAATTCCAGCCTCCCATCTCTTTTTCACAGCAATGCCATGACTTATGAACGATCCATAACCCAACTTTGTGTTGATGATATATTATCAATAAATACAGTAAAAATGGGGAATAAATTATCATTCATAATCTCAATTTTCGTGTTGAATGGGTTCTATGTGCTAAGATTAATTAAATAAGCAATTTAATCTTAAGATGGTCATGTTAAGCCTTCCCACATTCGGAAAATATACTCTCCTTTTTTCAAATTAGAAGTCCATTTTGACCAAACACTAAATGTAAGAAAATTTTTAGAAAAATGTGTGCTAGAATTGATACGTAAGACAAAGAAATAATGTCAAACAAATATTCCCCCCCCCCTCCCCCTCCCCCGATAAGAAATGATCTCTTATTGAAGACAAATGGAAAGAGAGTCATGCTGTTTATTTTGAGGGGAATAGATTATGAACTATTGAA